CTGGGGGGAATTGTTTGTGGTATATTTCAATGGCAGTCCTTCTCAGGACCCTTCTTCGGAGGATTTTTCAATCGGACGCCTTGTATGGAGGGCTTAGCATGGAACCCTTCTTTTGAGAATTTCAATTTGAATCCTCCTTGTGGGGGGAATCAAAAAGCAGCCTTTTTGTGGGGGTGTTCAATAGGAATCCTTCTGTGCAGCGTTTGCGTAGGACTCGCCAGCGCAATGCCAACGCAATGCCAACGCACTGCTAACGCACTGCCATCGCAAAGCCAACGCAGTGCCAATGCGATGCCAAACCGTTGCCAAACCAATGCCAATGCAATGCCGATGGCGGGATCCCTGTCTTCCAACAGATTTCACTAGGAATCCTCATGTGGATGGTTTGGTTACGAATCCTTCTTCGGAGGATTTCGATAGGAATCCTCCCGTGGAGGGTTTCGATTGGACTCTTTTTGTGGGGGGTTTCACTTTGAATCCTTCATATGGGGGCTTTCAATCGGATCCCTTCTTGTGCAAGGTTTTCATAGGAATCCTTCTGTGGGGGGAGTTATAAGAACCCGCCAGCGCAATGTCAACGCAATACCAACGCAATACCAAACCAATGCCAAAGCGATCCCAATTCAATGCCAATGCAATGCCAATGGGGGGAATCGTGTGTGGTCGGGTTCAAAAAGAATCCTTCTATGGAGGGCTTCGAATGGAATCCTTCCGTGAGGGAGTTCAATGCAAACCCTTCTGGTGGAACGCTTCAAATGTAATCCTCCTTGTGGGGGGTTCAACAGGAATCATTCTGCGATGGGAGGTGTTGGAACTCGCCAGCGCAATGCCAGCGCAATGCCAACGCAGTGCCACCGCAATGCCGCACCAATGCCAAGGCGATCCCAACCCAACGCCTATGCACTGCCAGTGGGGGAAACCCTTTGTGATATATTCCGTTCGGAATCCTTCTGTGGAGGGTTTCGCATGGAATCCTTCTGCGCAGGGTGTCAATATGAACCGTTTTTGTGGAGGGTTCCAATTGGAATCCTTCATGTAGAAGGTTTCGATCGGAGTCCTTCTGTGGAGGGTTCCATTCGAACTCGCCAGCACAATGCTTGCGAAACGCAAGCATACTAGCAACGCACTGCCAAGCGCAATGCCAACGCAATGCCAATGCGATGCCAACCCATTGCCAAACCAATGCCAAGGCAATGCCAACGTGGGGTTCTTTCTTTGCCGATGGCGAGATCCTTGTCTTCCAACAGATTTCACTAGGAATCCTTAGGTGGATGGTTTGGTTACGAATCCTGCTTCGGAGGATTTCGATAGGAATCCTCCCGTGGAGCGTTTCGATTGGAATCTTTCCGTGGGGGGTTTCACTTTGAATCCTTCATGTGGGGGCTTTCAGAAGGACCCCTTCTTGTGCAAGGTCTTAATAGGAATCCTTCTGTGGGAGGAGGTATTAGAGCTCGCCAGCGCAATGCCAACGCAATACCAACGCAATGCCAAACCAATGCCAACGCGATCCCAATTCAATGCCAATGCAATGCAGGGGGGGAAATCGTGTGTGGTCGGGTTCAAGAAGAATCCTTCTATGGAGGGATTCTTTCCGTGAGGGAAGTTCATTGTGGACCCTTCTTGTGGGACGCTTCAAAAGGAATCCTGCATGTGGGGGTTCAACAGGACTCATTCTGCGAAGGGATCTGTTTTAACTCGCCAGCGCAACGCCAGCGCACTGCCAACGCAGTGTCACACCAATGCCAAAGCGATCCCAACCCAATGCCAATGCACTGCCACTGGGGGGCATCCTTTGTGGTAGATTTCAATCCGGATCTTTCTGCGGAGGGGTTCGCATGGAATCCTTCTGCGGAGGGTGCCAATACGAACAATATCAATCCTTCTGCGGGTGATTTCAATAGGAATCCACATGTGGAGGGTTGCAGTAGGACTCATTCAGTGGAGGGTTTCGATAGGAATCCTTCTGTCGAGGATTCCACTATGAATCCTCCTTGCGGGGGCGTTCAATAGGAACCCTCCTAGGGGGGCAGATGAGGCCACGTCGCATTCCTTTTTTTTGCCGCCGACACCCCCCCTAAACATACAATACTAATCAGGTTGCAGTTTCCAACATGTTTTTTTGCTTTCTTTTTTTGTTTGGGGGGGGAGGGAGGAGAGAAAAAAAAAGGTTGAGGATGAT